AGGAAGTGTGTCCTGGAATGAGTCCCCAGTGGATACTGAGAAATAACTATTTACTTACAAGTATCTTTACTTACCCTTCCCAGAGTTAAGTCTATGTAAATTTAACTGCACACCCCATTTCTATGCTCCTGTATACCATCTATGTACAGCGGCTTACTTCTCATGCCCACGTACTTACATCTCTGTGTGTTTATCCGGTTTGTATCTTGTTTGTATTAATGTTCACACACTATTGCGTAGGTTGCAGGGGACGCTGCCTTTGTTAAGGGACTTCATGTCCTCCTCCAGCAGTGCCGCTTTTGTATTTGGTTTTTAGGGGTTCACACATTCTGGTATTTTTTCTTCTCCTTTTTGAAATATTTTTGGTGATGTTATTCTCCACATAACTGGGGATTGAACCTAGGTCCTCTCTCTCATACTCTTTCACTTTACCACTGAGCTACAGCCTCAGCCCCAGGTCTATTTCTTGTCGCCCGTTTCATGGGTTGAAATGTTATATATTGCAAGCCTACTATCCTCAGAGGCTGATACGTTTTCCTTGGTATGGTAAGGAGAGTACCCACTACCTCATTAACAGTGGATATTAATATTTAAATGCAAACAGTAATACCTCATTTTCATTTGTATTCCCCATTCATCAATGAGTCAAGTACTTCATGCTGTTTCTTCTGAAAAACTCTTAAACATGTTCTTAATTCATTTTTCCAAGGAGGTGACAATGAGAAGTCATTTTGTAAAGTTGTAAACGCTTAAATTTTTGTAAGGATTGGGCTAGAGGAAGGGGCATTGGATTTCAACTTAGCTTTTGGGTGTCTACTTTTGTGTCTGCTGGATTATGGGGAAGTTTTTCTTTTGTGCTTCTAGCCTTCAGACAGCACCTGAGGGTGACCAAAATGATTGTCAAACTTCCTTATGAAAATGTAGTGCCATCTTGTCTTTGACAAAGGAACGGGATCTGGGCTCACCTGAGCAGAGGTCTAGCCTCTGGTAGCTCCTGATCAGAAGTGCAGCACTAACTCTGCATTGTCAGTTGGGCAGATGCACAGAGTCAGCTGAGGCACATAGAAGCAGCATTTGACCAGGAGGCTGCAGCAGTCTTGATGGCACGGCTTGGCGTGTTCCGGGCAGAGTCCGAGGAGGGACCTGATGTGCTCCGGTGGCTGGATCGACAACTCATCCGACTGGTAAACTGGGAACAATGGCATTGAGATTAGTCCTTGTGTTTCTTCTACCTTCGAGAAAAGAAAATTCCCACTTAAGCCTATTATTTTTTAATTTTTAAAACCATTTATTTATTTATTTATTTGTGTGTGTGTGTGTGTGTGTGTGTGTGTGTGTGTGTATGCCATGGTGTACAAGTGGAGGTCAGAGGATGATCTGTGGAAATTGGTTCTCGTCTTCCACCATATGGATTCCAGGGATCAGAGCTCAGTTTGTCAGATTTGGTGGCAAGTACCTGTCCCTGCTGAGCCATTGTACTGGCTTTAGGAGATAGTTTAAGGAGTTTGGAAAGCCGTGAGGCTAATATTGCTAGGAAGCTACAGAAGATGAGGACTAGGAAAGGCCATCAGCTTTGACAGGAGAAAGCTAATTGTTAGGAATAGGGCTTTCTAAACACCCCAGGGCAGACACCTCTAGTGTCTGGAGGGAATGTTTGATCAGAAATAAAGGCAAGGCTGGACACAGTGATGCATGACTATAATCTCAGCACTTGGAAGGCAGAATCACCTTGCCTTTAGGCTAATATGACCCAGTCTCAAAAAGCATAAATAACTAGATAACTGACTAGCTGACTGACTAACTAGCTAAATATATAAATAAAGCAGGAATACATTCGGATTCAGAAACCTACCATTGAAAGGAAGAAGAAAATTGAGTTGTAATAGCAGAGAACAGCAAGGTTGATCTGTAATTGCTAGTTTTCATGGTCTCTCAGGGTTTTCATATGTAGAGGTGCCTCTGAGAGCTTGCTGAACACATGTGTGATTAGGGTGGACCTCAGGCCACCATTGCCTCCCGTTGGTTTGGGATTTAGAATCTCCCACTCTTCCCCCAGAGTGACCCCCTCCTATCCGCTTCAAATCGTGGAGATGAATCCAGGGCTTTGAGCATGCTAAGTAAGTGTTCTACCACTGAACTCTCTCTCTGGTCATCAGGGTCTGTGTTTTAACAAGACCTGGTGATTTGTCCACCCTTCGTGCCTGAGAGATGCTGGTCTAGAATTCATGAGAAGTAGCACACTACGTAGCTCTTTGGTCTGGGACTTTTCTAGGTGACACTAACTTAGACTCTTTTTTTCCCCTATTTTCTTTCATCAGTGTCAGAAGTTTGGGCAGTATAACAAAGAAGACCCCACGTCTTTCAGATTATCAGACTCTTTTTCTCTGTATCCTCAGGTAAGAAATATGGTTTTAAAGATAACTATAGAAGAATGAATTGTTAGAACTGAACTTTTCTGTGCTTGAGAGCAAAGGAAGACTTGTAATTGGAGACTAACTGTAATAGCAGGCTATCCTACCTCTTTTGAACCACTGTTGAAGCCAGCCAAGTGTCCAGCACTTGCATAGTGCTTTGTACATGTAAGCAGCCAATAGCTGGGGTCCTGGGACTTGCAGGTGCCTGTGTCTGAGCAGGTGAGGGTGGGTAGTGGTGTGAGAGCGCCCTGACCAGTCGGGGTGGAGTGCTAGCACTGGCCCTGCTGCTGCTCCTGGATGAGACCTCTGTGAGTCCTTGCTTCCTCATCTTTAGAAGGGAGGAGTTGGCCTGAAGCAGTGATTTGAAGTCTCTCTAAAGCTGTGAAATCCTTACTGGCAGAGGACTCTCCTTCAAAAGCCAGTGTGAAAAGCAGACAGATCTGAAGCTTCTCTGGTTGTACCCACCACCTGGATCCACTGGATGCTTTCAGAGCCTCCACCCTCTAGGGTCCCTGGGCTGGAGAGGCCCTGCACTCTCCAGTGACTTACTCAAGAGAATGAATATCTGTTCCCAAGGAAAATTAGCCCAAGGGGAAAAGCACATTTGAGGTTTTGAGGGTTGAGCACAGTGTAAGAGAGTCCTCCTACCTTAGGATGCTCTGTAGATGAAATCATAAACGCCTTCTTAGCTGGCATTTCCATACTGTGCTCCTTCACGTGGGAGTTCTTTAAAATCAAACAGAATAATTTTAGCTGGGGGCTGGACAGGTGGCTTAGACTAAGAGTGGTTGCTGCCTTTAGGGACCTAAGTTGGTTCCCAGTACCTACATCAGGTGGCTCAAACTGCTTGTGGCTCCAACTCCAAAGACCCAACACCCTCTGTGGTGTTCTTGGGCACCCACATGTGACATACAAACACACAGGCACACATACGTAAAATAAAAATAAAGTAAATTTTAGAAATCTGTCTGGAAGGGCTAGAGAGGTTGTTAAAGAGTGCGTACTATTCTTTTCAGAGGGCCTGAGTTCAGTTCTCAGCACCCATGTCAGGCGACTCACAATTACAGATAACTCCAGCTCCAGGAGATCTGACACCTTTGGACTCTGGACACCTACACTCACATACTCATGTCTCTGCCCCGTAATTAAAAGTAAAATAAATCTTTAAGGGGTCAAAGAGATGGCTGAGTAGTTAAGACCACTGATTGCTTTTCTAGAGGATACAGGTTCAATTCCCAGCACCTATATGGCAACTAACAACCATCTATAACTCCAGTTCTAGGGGATCTGTCTCCTCGCTTCCTTGGGGACTGCATGCACATAGTTCATGGACATAAATGAAAGCAAACACCCATACATGTAAAATAAAATAACAACCAACCAAACAAACACTAACAAAGGCCAAATCATTAGAAAAACAAATCTTACCTGGGCATAATTCCACATACCTATCTATAATCCTAACACTTGGGAAGTGGAGGTAGGAAGATTAGGAGTTCAAGGTTAGCCCAGGCTACATGATCCTTGTCTTTAAAAAACAAAACAAAAAACCAAAAATACCTAAAAGTGATACTTAAAGCAGCAATTGTAAGACATTTTTAAAATTGTGGTTCAAAAAAAAAAAAAGACAAAATTTATCATCTTGGGGCTTAAGGAGATCCCTAGTCCCAATGTAAAAGCTGGGTAGGTGTGGTGGCTAATTATAATCCCAGTGCTCAGGAGTTAGAGATGGGGTCTCCAGGGCACGCTGGCTAACTAAGGTAGCCTATGGGCAAGCTCTGGGTTCAAATCCGAGAAACTGCTTCAATAAGTAGAAATGGAGAGTGACAAAGACACAGGACATCAATTGCATATACACACAGGTACACATACCTAATTGTTGGGCCACACATATGCATATATATACACCACATGCAGGCAAAAACTTCCTTTTTTTTTTTCCTGATTTTTTTGAGACATGGTTTCTCCGTGTAGCTCTGGCTGTCCTGGAACTCACTCTGTAGACCATGTTGGCCTTGAACTCAGAGATCCGCCTGCCTCTGCCTCCCAAATGCTAGGATTAAAGGTATGAGCCATCACCACCACCCAGCAAAAAAGTTACCATTTTTAAAAAAAGATTTAATTTGTATGTGGAGGGATATGTGTGGTTATGCGCACAAGAGTGCAGTGCCTTCAGGGAGGGCAGTGGATCCCCTAGAGCTGGAATTATGGGCAGTTGTGAGCCACCTGACCTGGATGCTGACCTGGGAGCTGAACTCAGATCCCTCTGCAGGAGCAGCAACTCTAGCCTCAAGTTTACCATCTTAACCCCTGTGAAATATGTAATTGTGTGCTATTACATACATTTACATTCTTTTTTGTGATTTATTGATTTTTATTTTGGTGCATTGGTGTTTTGCTTGCATATATGTCTGGTCCTGCAACTAGAGTTACAGACGGTTGTAGGCTGCCATATGGGTGCTGAGAATGGAACCTTGGTCCTCTGGAAGAGTAGCCAGTGCTCCTAACTGCTAAGCCATCTCTCTAGTCCCCACATTCACATTCTTTTTTTTTTTTTTTTTTTTTTTTTGGTTTTTCGAGACAGGGTTTCTCTGTATAGCCTTGTGCCTTTCCTGGAACTCACTCTGTAGACCAGGCTGGCCTCGAACTCACAGAGATCCGCCTGGCTCTGCCTTCTGAGTGCTGGGATTAAAGGCGCATATCCCACTGCCCGGCCACATTCACATTCTTGTGCCCCAGAGTGCTGTAATTTTTTTTTAATCTTTACTGATTAAGCATGGTGACACATGCTTGTAATTTCAGCACTTGGAGGGTTGAGGCAGGAGCATCTCAGGTTTGAGGTCAGACACATAATATCATCATGTCATAAAGCAAGCAAACCCACCTGCGATTGTATACCCGGTAAAGGCACTCCCCATTTTCCTCTCCCACCAGTTCTGCCACCGCCCTTTTGTGTCTTTGTGAACCCTCAGATAATTATCTTGGAGTCCAGGTTTCATATTTTCGAGATCCAGAGTAGATGGCTCTGCATGTCCAGCATCACAGATGGATTCTTTTGTCTTTCTTTTGTGAATGCAGTTCATGTTCCATCTGAGAAGATCTCCATTTCTTCAAGTGTTTAACAACAGTCCTGATGAGTCATCCTATTATAGACACCATTTTGCCAGGCAGGATCTGACTCAGTCCCTCATCATGATCCAGCCCATTCTCTACTCTTACTCCTTCCATGGACCACCAGAGGTAAGGCTGGACAGACATGCTTTTCTGAGAGTGGGTGACTTAATCACAAGGGGTTTTGTTTTCCTTTACCAAATATAGTCTTAGAGCAGAACTGTAAAATCTTGAGTTTATAGTAACTTTATATTGTTTCTAAGTATTAAAAAACATAGGAAAACTCAGAAGATATACTAAAGCTGTTTTTGGTGTGGAAAGCAGAAATAAATTGAGGGAAAAAAACTCCACAATGTTATGAGTCCACGTTCTTTGTCCAGTAATTCCAGCCCTTGTAAAGTATCTAAAAGAAATATGAGTATGAAAATAGAAAAGTTTTTATGCAAAGAAACAAGAAAATGAACAACTACAAGAGAATTTGGGGCTGGTAGAGAGCTTGCCTTGAATGAATGAGGACCTGGTTCTGGCACTGAAAAAAAAAAAGGAATCAGAGGGCAATCCAAGTACTCAGTAGAAGGAAAATAGTTAAGTATTCTAAGAAATAGTCACATAATTTATATAACATAGTAAAACGTAAAAATGTTACATGGTAAGAAAAGAAAAGATCCAGTGGAAATTTTTTAGTATAGTAAAGAATGCCTATGGAAAACAGGCTGGAAAATGCCATAACCTTAAAACCTAACTGAGCAATATGTGAGCAAAAGCAAGAGCATCCTGAGACAGTGCAGGAGTGGAGACAAATAATGTAAAGGAAGAAGTGAAAAGATGCTTGTGGGGCCAATCGCCCTGGCTCCAGCAGGCTCCACTTGGTGCAGTTGGTGAGACGAGTGGAACCAAAGCAGAAACGCCTTGAAAACTTGATGGAGTGGAAAGTTGTCCAACTTGCAAATAAAGCCAAGAAAGATTGTAAACTAAAAAGGAATAACAGCAAAATAAATTCTAAGTTTATATATACTAAAAGCCTATAAAAATAAAGAACAATATTGAAGTAAACCAAGATATCAGTATTTCTTGTTTTCAACTACAGATTTTCTAAAATGAGTACAAGTTACTTTTATTATTGAAATGAAAATTCATAATGAAATATATTTTGTTGTAAACTATGAAAACTTACATTAAATCCTGTTTTTCATACAGGCACTCTTTTTTTTTTAAAGATTTATTTTATTTATTATGTATGCAGTGTTTTGTTTGTTTGTTTGTTTTTCATATGTATCCCTGCAGGCCAGAAGAGGGCATCAGATCTCATTACAGATGGTTATGAGCCACCATGTGGCTGCTGGGAATTGAACTCAAGACCTCTGGAAGAGCAGCCAGTGCTTAACCTCTGAGCCATCTCTCCAGCCCTCATACAAGCATTCTTGTTCATTCTAGCTGTAGCTGCAGTAGTTGAGAAAAGATCAGCTGACTAAGAGTAGTTCTGGCCGGGCGGTGGTGGCGCACACCTTTAGTCCCAGCATTCGGGAGGCAGGGGTAGGTAGATCTCTGTGAGTTTGAGGCCACCTTGGTCTACAGAGTGAGATCCAGGACAGCCAGAGCTGTAGACACAGAGAAACACTGTCTTGAAAAAACAAACAGACAGACAGACAAACAGAGTAGTTCTGGAACAGAAGAGAGAAAGCTCTTGTTATGTTCTGGCTTCTGGACCACAAGCTAGCCTCAGTTTCTGTCCCCGGTTGATGGAGGAGTGTCAGTGACCTGTGTCATCTACCAAACTGAGATTTAGAGCTGTCAGTTTGGGGAGTGAAACGTAGTAATGTGTGAAGAGGGGCAGCCCTGTGCTGGAACCGATTGTAAATAGCTTCCTTGCTGTTTTGTGGATGTGCATGTGGGGCTGGAGTGGCTGTTGTGTAGAGGGAGGACCAACGCCTTCTGTCCTCTTCCACAGCCTGTACTCCTGGACAGCAGCAGCATTCTAGCTGACCGAATTCTGCTGATGGATACTTTCTTCCAGATTGTCATTTATCTCGGTGAGGTAAGGTGATATCAGTTTCCTTCTTGACTCCTCTGCTTTGTTTTGTTTTCCTGTTATTTACTTCAGTTTGTTGTGTATGTGTGTGAACCTATGGTCAGAGGACAGAGGGGGAGTTATTTCTCTTTCCAACATCACAGACTGCTTCCACTGGTGCTAGTGGAAGAATATCACAGGTGTTGGTGAAGGCTGCTGTCAGAGCTTCAACAGCAGTTTTGGTTGCTTTGTTTTGGTGTAGACCATAGCCCAGTGGCGGAAAGCTGGATACCAGGACATGCCTGAGTATGAAAACTTCAAGCACCTTCTGCAGGCTCCTCTGGATGATGCGCAAGAAATTCTGCAAGCTCGCTTCCCAATGCCACGTTATATCAACACAGAGCATGGTGGCAGTCAGGTGGGTGGGCCCCATTCTAGCTCTAATAGATTTTTTTTATTATGCGATGATTTATTTTATGGATATTAATAGTTATAATTTTATGTGGTGGCATAAATTTACATACAGGTATTCTTTCAGCTATGATTTGTTTAGATTTAGTTTATTTTACTTCCAGGCTGGCCTGAGACTTACTGTGTAGTGCAGGTTGGTCTCAAACTCATGATCCTCATACATCAGTTTCCTACATGTCTTGGTAGGAAAAAATTGAATTGGGTGACTTACAGTTCAGAGGTTTAGTCACTCATCATCATGGTGGGACATGGCGGCATGCAGGCAGACATGGTGCTAGAGAAGGAGCTGAGAGTGGAGATGGAGCTACATATTGATCCTCAGGCAACAGGAAGTGAACTGAACTAGGCATAGCTTGAGCATAGGCAACCTCAAAGCCTGCCCCCTCAGTGATTCACTTCCTCCAACAAGGCCACACCTACTTCAACAAAACCACACCCCCTAATAGTGCCAATCCCTATGAGCTTATGGGGACCAATTGCATTAAAACTACTACACGTGTGCCTCACTATGCCTAGTGGTGACTTCTTATTAAATGAATGTACTAATATGAAAGTATAAGATTATCAGTATGTCTGGATCATTTATAGATGGGGAGCTAGTGGACTTAAAAAAAGAGAGATAAAAGAAATCAATTTAAACAAATAATATAAAATCTTTACTTTTTTGTACACTGATACTACTTTTAATTTTTAAAATCTTTTTATTTTTAAAGGCTCGATTCCTGTTGTCTAAAGTTAACCCATCTCAGACACACAATAACTTGTATGCTTGGGGACAGGTAAGAATTGCTGGGTTTCTGGGGAGAAGGTCAAGTTGCTTTCATTTAAAGCTTGTTTGAGTCTATAAATTGAACCTGTTCTGGTTCAGACAGAATGACTCTGTTGGGGTGTCGGCTGCAAGTAACCCACTTATATTATGGATGGGAGTAGGGTACTACCTGTGTGAACCTCCGGCACACAGCTTACTGTGTGTGCCAGGGGCAGCATGCTCCACTGTGGTCTCTGTGCACAAGTACACACAGCTTACTGTGTGTGCAGGGGCAGCATG